TTCCAGTCACGTGTTTGTGAAATACGGTGTTTAATTTCTTCATTTCCTTTAATTACATGAATATCAAAAGCAAAGAGAACTGAATGCAAAAGTTGATCTGATAAGGTTTTTGTGAATGCTGTAAGATACTAGACCAATTTTCCTCAAGGTGGCTGGCTTCCCTAAGTCAATCTTTGTTCCTTAAAGCTGTCTAGTAATATCTAGAAGTATGCATATCTTTCTCAAATGTGACATTCCAGTCAGAGCCTTGGTAATATATCCAGTGTTTCCATTTGTTTCCAGTTACAAGGAGAATAGATTCTTAATGAATTTATGTATTGAACTATGACAATAGGAATGCACATTTACTAAGAGTTTCCAAATTCTGGAGAGATCAGGGAGGGAGGAAAAGATAAATGTTTCAATTCTGCTTATAAAGTTATAATTTATCAAATTGCCGTTGGTTTTAGGTAGCTTAGGAGAAAAATAACTTCCTTATATCTGGAAAACAAATACCAAAGAAAACCCCAGTAATATTTCATATGAAGTCATAGATATAATCACCCTCATAAGTTCATTCAGTCCCATGTTAATTCTTATTGACCTTGATCTTATTGTTAGCAGTTTTATAAATCCAATATTTCCTTAGTGTTCTACAGTCCTCACTCAGTTTAGCAGTATGATCTGAATTGACAAAAAAAATTTGCTTTACTCGGCAACATACACTTCAAGATATCAGCTAGAGCCTGGCCGGGTGTGGCTCAGTGGTTGAGCTTCGACCTAGGATCCAGGTGATCGGGGTTCGGTTTCTGGTCAGGGCACATGCCCAGGTTGTGGGCTGGATAAATGACTCTCTCATCATTGATGTTTCTGTCTCTCTCCCTCTCTCCCTCTCCTTTCCTCTCTCTGAAATTAATAAAAATATATATATTTTTTTTAAAAAGATATCAGCTAGAATTACAAATGAAAACATTGTATCGGNTAATAAAAATATATATATATTTTTTAAAAAGATATCAGCTAGAATTACAAATGAAAACATTGTATCGGGTCGTTTTCGATTTTTAGAAATTTTACATAATATCTAGAACATTTATTTCTTTTTATTTTTTAAATATATTTTCATTGATTTCAGAGAGAGGAAAGGGGAGAGAGAGAGAGAGAGAAATATCAATGATAAGAAAGTCATTGATCCTCTGCCTCCTGCATGCCCCCTACTGGGGATTAGGCCCGAAACCCAGGCATGTGCACTGATTGGGAAATGAACCATGATCTCCTGGATCATAGGTCGATGTTCGACTGCTGAGCTATGTGGTTGAGCCAGGCTAGGACATTTATTTTAATAACACTAATTTCACCTTAGTAAAAGAGAGGGGAAAAGAGGAGAAGGGAGTGAGGGGGGGAGATAGAGATCTTTTTTGAAATGGTGCAGGGATCCTTCTGAAAAAAATTTTTCTGGTTAAGAAAAAGACTAATTTTTGAATTTGTTAAATATATAAAAGCTTTAAAACATTTGGTCAAGTAGGATCATAGGTTATTGTGAAACAATACTTAATTATCATGATGACAAAGACTACAGGCAAGTACAAAAAGTTAAGTAATTATAAGCAAAATTTTGCTCTTTTAATATTAAGACCTGGTTTACCTAAGCAATCAAAGATCTGATGATAAAGAGCACAGAAAATCATTTTTGTAAAACACAAAATTTTTGTTTTCTCTTTGTAGTCTCTTATTAATAGCATACCAATTATAAAGGAAAACTTTGTACTTTTAGCAGATGATATAACATTGAATTTTAATTTTACATAAGTACACTGTTGATATTAAAGCTTATAATAAATTCATTCAGTCTTATCCAGCTTGATCATACACAGATTTCCTTTCTCAAGATTTCTTTTCACAGACCTACAACTTTGCTTGTGATTCCCTCAAAAATGCATTTCCATATATGCCTTCTAGAATTGAAAACGCATATCCTACTTTTTCTTGTATTCAAAGTTGTTTCCCTTATTATTTCTAGTATTTTTAATTGGCAATTCAATATTGAAATTTTTAACCCTTCAAAGTCTCAATTTCTAGAGAAAACTAATTATAAACTGTTATATCAGTATTTTTTTTAGATTGGTAAAGTAATTCATTTCAGAACCTCTAGAAACATGGGTTCTTTTACTGCAAATATATTTTATAATTTTCAGAAACATGTGTCCTTTATAACAGTACAATCTTTCAATCCAAATTTTTCAAGTCACCAAAAAATTCTAGAAAACTGGTTCTGAGCACCAACATTTATTTGAGATCCAAAAGAAGAGCTATATTACCAAGGCTTTGACTGAAATGGTATTGCAGGTCAAATCTGATGGCCAGTCTGATTGGCTTTAAGAGGTCAGTCTGAGATTCCTTATGAAAGGGTCCAGAAAGCAGTGTTAGAAAGAGATTATATGATCAATCACTATTTTTGCTGTACTTAACGTTAACTTATTAAGCCAAGTTTAATGCAAACAAATTCATTTTACTGTGATTATCTTTGGTAAAAAAAAAAAAAATGGGGGTAATTGTAGAAAGAAAAATTATGTTGGTATCTTTTGTAAAGACTAGTTTCTAATCCTGTTAATTGTCTTTGAGGTTTTGTTATCTACGTGCAAACTGGACTGGAACCTGACTTCTAGTTTCCTCAAATATCTAGCTATGACATGGCTCCAAAGTGCACTCCAGACAGTGGGAATTATCCTGCTTACAGTAATCATAGTAATCATCCTAACATGCTATATTCTCAAAGGCTTTAAATGCATGTTCTCAGTGGCTTACCACCAGGCAAATGATCTTCCTAAGCCTGGAACATCAGAAAAGAAATGAAGAGAATGACTGACTTAAAAATCAATGATCTTCAAATACCATAGAGAATCAGAAAAAAATCACACAGAGGATCAGTAAAAGCTCACATAAGAACTACAAAGTGGTAGCTGAGTGTGGTGCAAATGCCTTAAATTTGGGAGAAATTGTTGAAAAACAAATAAATAGATCTCAAATGGAATCACTTGCCCCCAGGACAGCAAACCAAGATTTAATTGCAGTTTCAATCTCTCCCAGATTTGTGACCTTTAACCTGTCAAAATGACATTTCCCGTTAGCACTAATGAGGTGATGTGCATTATCAACCCCCTCCCTGCCCTTTCCCCAAAGGAAGATATTGCCTGAAACAGTCCTTTTCTTTATGACTTTCTTGTCCCCCTTTGTGCCTTTAAAAACTTTTTGCTTTCTACAGCTCCTCAGAGCTCCTAATTGCTGGGGGGGATGCTGACTGATTAATGAATCATTTAATAAAATAAATTAGAATCTTCAAATTTACTCTGTTGAATTTTTGGTTTTTTAACATGTCCTTCATGACAGTAACATTTTTTTGAAGAAAAGCAGCTATTTTGTGGTATGTCTTATGATTCTTATTTTAGTGGTTGGAATAAGTAAGTTGTAGTCTCAGTAGATTTGATTATTGTAATGCAATATTGTTGTCTATATTCACTATACTGTGTCTTACATCTCTACCACTTATTTACTGTTTGTTGTAAGTTTGTATCCTTAAACCACATCTATCCTGTCCCTTACCCCCCAGCCCCATCGCTTGTGATTCTTGATGCTCTTAGATTTCTTGTTTTGGTGGTCATATTTAGGTATTACATTTATATTAAATATCCAGAATAGTTAAATCCATAAAGACAGGAAGCGGATTGGTGGTTGCAGTCACTGGAGGAGAGAGGAAAAACTGCTTAATGGGTATGGTGTTTCCTTCTGGGTGATGAAAATGTTTTGGAACTAGATAGATACAGTTGCACAACATTATAGATTTTCTAGATCCCTTTGACTCATTCACTTCAAAATGGTTATTTTTATGTTATATTAATTTCACCTAAAAATTAACTTTAAAAAATCCCAGTGTGGCCCTGACCAGTGTGGCTCAGTGGTTGGAGCATCAGCTTGAGCACCAAAGGGTCGCAGGTTCAGTTCCTAGTCAAGGGCACATACCTGGGTGTTGGGTTTGCTCCCCACCCCCAGTGGGAGTGCGTGGAGAGGCAGCCAGTTGATGTGTCTCTCACATTGATGCTTCTCTGTCTCCCCCTCTCCCTCTCTTCAACTCTCTGAAAAGCAATGGAAAAAATGTCCTCAGGTGAGGATTAACAACAGCAACAAAAATCCCAGTGTGTAAATGGTTTTGCTACACCCCCATATACAGACCACAGATTTCTCAGCAAATAGACATTTCATTAAGAAACTTATTGCATGCCCAGCCGGTGTGGCTAAGTAGTTGGACGTCATCCCACTAACCGAGTTTACCAGTTCAATTCCCGGTCAGGGTTGCGGGCTCAATTCCCAGTAGGGGGTGTGCAGGAAGCAGTCTATCGATGTTTCTCATAGATGTTTCTATCTCTCTGTCTTCCCTTCCTCTCTCTCTAAAATCAATAAAAACATTTTTTTAAAGTGCTGTATTTAAAAAATAAAATTATTGCATGACAATTGCAATGATTTCTAATGATTAAAATAATAAATAGGAATTACAAGTTGATTTTTGGTGGGAGAACTGATATGCAGAAGAATCTATTATATTCCCATCAGTGAGTATTTAAGGTTTAATGTATTATGTACAGTTTCTACTTTGAAAAATTCCCATGTTGGGATGGATGTGAAAAAACAAGAATATGTTTTCTATCCAATTTGAATGATTTTTTAAATATTAAATAACAGATTTTCTAAAAACAAAAAAACATTTTTAGTACATTACATTTGAACATTAACTATCATAGGTTAAGATTCTAAGTCAAGGTAAGAATCTGGATAGCTTCTCTACCTCTGAATGTGTATATTCTAGGTTTTCCAGGTATCAGCATGCAAGGGTTGTTAAGTCAAGAACTGAAGTTTTGTTTGACAGCTGAGACATTTTTTCCGTGAACAACTCAGTCAAGAACCAAATTGTTTGAGATGGGAAGCATTTGAGAACGAAGGTCTGACTGTATTTGCTTTGTTTTTCCCAGGTGGAAGAAAAGATGTTGTCCCGGTTAAGAATAGTTGCCACTCCTTGTACTCTGGCATGCCGGCATGCACACACAAAAGAGAAAGGCAAGCCACTTATGTTGAATCCAAGAACAAACAAGGTTAGTAACATTACTACTAGCATACCTTTTCTCTTGCCCCAATAACGGTTTGATTTGATATACTTGAGACTGATAAAGTGGAACTTTTCTATTTTGTAGCTTTATACTAAAACTATTCAGAGGTATTTGCTTTTTCTGCATGCGTTTCGCTTTTCTCCATACAGCAAGAATCATGGCTGCTTTATACCTCTCAAATTTCAATCCTCACAACTTCTACCACCAGGAAAGGACTGACTTTATTTCCTAGTTCTAACTCAGAAAAATCTACATGATAGCAGTCTGGCCAGGACTTTTGGCCAGATGTGGGATTTTTAGATTTATCCAGCTTAGATCAGGTACTCATTCTGGACCAATCATTTGGGCCCTTGGAAGGTGGGTTCAAAATTGTAAAATGAAATTTTATGTAGTGTCTACCCCACTTTCGTGCAGCTTTTTGGACACAAATCATTACACACAAGTGATTTTTTTCATTAATCACACTACTGCTTCAAAAGAGAGAACTCTGACCCTCTTTACAGTCTGGGGGCAGAAGCAATGGCCAATATTGAGATCTGTTGTGCCTTTATTCCTGATCCATGCTGGGTTCAGTGGGTAGTCTCTCTCTACTTTTTAGGAGCAATAATAGTAAGTAAACTAAATAGTAAGTAAACATAATTCTGGAATGAGATTTCTTACAGGAAGCTTGCAAGAGAATACATAAGTTTATTGTAATATATGAAATTTACTTTTGAGAATGGTACATTCAGATTAAGGTGTGGTTTATTTTAAAGCAACAGTAAAAAATTTGCCAATCCTATTTGTTTTCCATTGTGGGGTGGGGGATAAATAATTGGATAGTATGATATGTTTTGAGGGTTCTCACGCCTACAAAGGGGAATTTGACTAAGGGTCACACAGAGCACCTTATCTTTGCATTTTTGGTACCTGGCCAGAATGAGAATTCAGCAAGCAGTTAGTGAAATAAATGAAGCTTAATGAGAGATATTTTAATCCTCTCTTGTTTCTACCTCATCTCCACAAATCTTGCTTTTCAAGATGCAGCTCATTTAAAATCCAGTTCTGCAGAGCCTTTTCACACCACCATAGACTGGAATAATTGTTCCCTTCTCTGAAAACCTGTAGCAATTTTTATCTGTGACAAGTAATCTATATGTTGCTTTGTGCTTCTGTTCATGTCTTAAGCTGCCATTGAAATAATTGATAGTATTTACATTTTCATAACTTTATATTTCATAACTATATTTCAGGTTCCTTTTGGTCAGGGACCATTCAAAATTTCTTTGTATCATTTATAATGCCATGGGTATAGTAAACATTTGATAAATATGTTGGTTTTATTTTATTACAGAAATTATATAAAACCTATTTTGTGGGGGTTATAAGAAATTTATAAAGTACATTGTGGGGAATGACTTTTAAGGAGGAGAGTAGTCTAAATGCCTTATACTACCTCTGTGAAGAAAATAAAATCTAATGCTCTCGCCTTCTGAAATCTTTACAGTTAGATAGCATCTTGTATGGTTACCTCATTGAAGGACCACTTCTGGAAATCCCTTAAGCATCAGGAAGTATTTTTTGTTGTGGCTGTGTGTTTAAGGAGGAACATAGACTATCAAATCCCAATTTGAGGGTCTTGAACTCCTTGGGGACTTAACCGTGTAAAGAAGTCAGGTTTGTTCTTCAGACATTATAGACTAAATTAATAATTTTTAAAATGTTTGTAAGTACTGTTTTAAGAGTATGTTGCTGCTGTGATTAATAAAATAGTAATTAAAGGCAGTAATAATTCTTAATCCTTTTAAATGTATATCTGTAATCACTGTAAAACTTTTTTATTGTGGTAAAGTAAACATAATTTACAATTTTTACTACTTAAAAGTATTTAATGCAGTGACCTTAAGTACATTCAGTATTGCACATACATCAGCATTATCTAGTTCCAAAACTTTTTACTACCCAAAATGGAAACCCAGTACCCATTAAGCAGCCACTTCCCATTTCCCTCTTCCCCTCCTTAGCCCCTGACACCCACTAGTCTGTTTTCTGTTTGTATGAATTTGAATGTGAAATGAATATGAGAATTTTAATATTCTTTTAGAAGTCCTTATACATACTTTAAAGGGTTGGACATCATTATTGTGGATTAAGTGCAGGAAATTAGGTGCTAATTTGAGCTCTGCCATTTACTAGCCAGGAAACTTAGGAAAGTCATTTAACCTCTCTAGGTTTCAGTTTTCTCACTTAAATAATGTAGTTAATAATAGCATTTTGAAACATTCAAAGGGTTGTACACAGTGTGAGATTGGATTTCTCCTCTCCCCATGCTCATTTGACTAACTTTTCTAATAATTTTTGAAACTCAGCTCTGGATCCTTTCCTCTGGGAAGTTTTCACTTCCTAATTTGTATCTGGAGCTCTGGTTTTATGGTTCTCAGTTCTATGAGGGTTTTTGTTTGTTTGTTTTTAATTTCCCCAGCTAGTTCTCTAAGAGAAAGACTAATTTAAATATTTCTTGTGATTCCTATTATTTACACAAATAATGTTATGACAAATAAAAAAAGGAAAATCATATTTCTACCACCCCAATATATCATCTATTTTTATTTTGCCATGATCCTCTTAAAAGTTACTTTTAAAATTGTAGTATACAGTTTTACAGTCCATTTTTCAGCACTTTGAATATGTCACCCCTCTGCCTTATAGCTTTCATGGTTTCTGATAAGAAACTAGCTGTTACCCTTCTTGAGGATCCCCTTTATCCCTTTATGCCTGTGGAGTCCTTTCTCTCTGCTTTCAAATTTCTCCTTTTGTGTTTGTCTTTTGACTGTGTGAATGTGATGTATCTAGGTGTAGGTCTCTTTGAGTGTGTTCTCATTGGAGTTGTTGAGCTTCTTGGGTGTGTGGATTAATTCTTTCTGATCAAATCTGAAGAGTTTTTAGCCATTATTTCTTCAGATACTTTTTCTTCCCTTACCTTCTGGGACTGATGTTATGCATATGTTGGCACTCTTGATGGTATCCCACAGGTCTCTGAGGCTCTGTTCATATTTACTGACTGTGTTTTCATTTTGTTTCTCAGACTAGGTAATCTCAGTTGATCTGTCTTAAAACTTGTTGATTCTTTCACTTGCTTGAATCTGCTGTTTAGTCCCTCTAGTGAATTCTTAAATTTCACTTACTGTACTTTCAACTCTAGAATTTCTGCTTCACCCCTTTTCCCATTATTTGCCAAGTGGCGCTCTGTACATGTTGGGGTATGGCTTCAGTACACAGCCAGGCAGTTCACAACTATGTCTCAGCTTTCACTTTCTGTTTACACAGAGCCTTAAGGGTAGCCAGAGGTGGAGCTTAGAGCCTTCTCAGGTCTTTCCTGGACATGAATACAGCTCATGCACATGACCGTGTAGATTCTCAGGAATACGTCCAAGGTTTTCAAAGCCCCTCCATGGACATCCAGTTCCTCCGCTTTTCCTTTTCAGCTTTTTGGTTAGTCTATTGTTTGCCTCGTATGTTACCACCTTAGAGAGTTGCCATGTTAAATAATTGCCTGTTACAGTTTTTAACACGCTCTTCCGAAGAAAAGGCTGTTCACACTGGTTGAGCTCCAAATCAAGTCAATTAAAGACAGCCTTGCAAGAGGGCTCTTCCAGGGAACCACCAGAGAGGTCAAATAATGACAGTTCCCTGGGTCTTTAGAAGACTCTCCGCCCCCTTCTATCCTCTCCAGTGGCTGCCAGGCTCTGGTTTTCAAAGTGATTATTACACAGTGATTGCTATTTTCAAGGCTGCTGTGGAGTTGGTGAGGAGAGAGTAAATAAGGCAAGTTAAAATGCCATGAAGCTGGCTATTCTTGATGAAATTCAGCAAGTTTTCTTGAATAAATATTCCCTGTTGCTAAAGCCTTTGGTTAATTTCCAGAATTCTAAAAGAGTTGATTCTGATCATTTGGCCAGTGTTCTTACTGCTTTTATGGAAGAAATGATTTTGAGAAGTCCTTACTCTGGCATTTTCACTGACATCACTTTGATTCAGAGAATTTAACCCACAGCTGAATATCAGAAATTGAAAAAGATTTTCTTAGGACGTAGGTTAATTTTTTTCTTGAGTATCATTTCTTCCTTCCTCCTCCTACCAGCCTTACTCCTTTCTAGTGGGGGTAGCCTCTCTTATCAGTTTGATTTATGTTCTTTCAAGCTATATTTTGTTGATTTCATTTCTAATGTATGATGCATCTGTGTATATGTACTTTACAGGGAGTTTTCTAAACAACAGTTTACAGTAAGTGTGTTTTGATGTACAACTTGCTTTTTTTCTCTTAACTGCATGTCTGGGAGATCTTTCTAGGACACATAAAGATATACGTTTAAGTGTGATGCTATTTCATGGTATAGAAATACCATAGATTCCTTAACTTTTCCGTAATTAATGGAGTTTTAGTTTGTAATAGACAAGAGAACTAGAAACAGTGCTAGAACAGATCTCTTCGTATATGACTCTTTACTCTGTGTATGAATATTTATCTAGGATGGCTTTGTAGAAGTAGAATCACTTTATGGCAAGTACGTGTACTTAAAAAGTTAAGATTACTTTAAGCCCTAGCTGGTTTGGCTCAGTGGATAGAGTGTCAACCTGCAGACTGAAGAGTCCCGGGTTCAATTCTGGCCAAGGGCATGTACCTCGGTTGCAGGTTCAGTCTGCCAGGAGGCAACCAGTCGATGTGTCTCTCTCACTTCGATGTTTCTGCCTTTCTCTCCCCCCCTTCCATTCTCTCTGAAAAGCAATGGAAAAAATATCCTTGGGTGAGGATTAAAAAGATTACTTCAAAATTGTTCCCAAAAGCCTAAATCAGTTGACGTTTCCAGCAATGGTATGTGAGAGTAACTGTTTTACCACACCCTTTCCAATACTAGATATAGTCAATCTTATAAATTTTTGACAGTCTGGGCAAAAATGATATCTCACTGTTTTTTAAAAAATATATGTTTAAATTACATTTTCCGGTACATCACCACTGCTACCCCAATAAGCAATAATTTTTAATGTTTTTATTTCTCCTTTTTAGGGAATGGCATTTACATTACGAGAACGACAAATGCTTGGTCTTCAAGGACTTCTACCTCCCAAAATAGAGACACAAGATATTCAAGCCTTACGATTCCATAGAAATATGAAAAAATTAAATTTACCTTTGGAAAAGTAAGAATTGATTAGATGTTTACTTTTTATTGATGTTACGATCAGAAAAAATGGAAGTATGGTTATTATGGCATCAGAAACATACGGTCTCATAATGCAGTTCGTGTTGTAGTCAGTTAACTGTTACGTTTATAACGATAATATTTTTTTCATTGCAGTGAATCCTTCATTTGTTTTCCCTGTTGTAAAATTTAGCAGAAATCAGTTTTTTCTGCTCAAAATTAGAGTGTTTCAGGTTTGAATGGAATGTTAGAACCAAAGGCTATCATCTGATTTGCACCCAATTCTATTCATCAGCTTTTATTGATCACCTCCTTTGTGAGTGCCCCTGAAGATATCAAGTGGGTAATAAATAGGGTGACCATCTAACATATCATTCAACCCAGGACACTTTGGGGAGTGAAAAAGGAGTAACTGAACCTGGCCCAGGAAACTAGCATATATGTCCAGTAATACACAGCCCTGCCTTCTAGGAGCTCATCAGTAGATAGTCAGACTATGTCTGTCGCTGTGCTCTGTACTACAGTATGCAGGACTATGGGGAAAAGATACATGCAGAATATATTCTGAAAGCTCAAAGATGGGTATCTAATCCAGCTTGGGGAATCAGTGAAAGCTTCCTGGAGGAAGATTTAGAAGGGCCAGGGTTGAATAGAGCTGGTGAGGAGAATGATAAATGTTTGGAAGACCCAATTTACCCACAAGGTGAAGATGAACAAGAACAGGTTAAAGGGAGGAGAAGGGAGTCAGCCCTGAAGGCCTCGTGGCATGATCTTGTTTGTATTGCTGTCATTCTCCCCAGCAATGTTATTTTTCCACAGAAAAGATAAATGTAACATTGATTCAGGTTTGGGGTTTACTGGGCTGGCAGAGATGCTACATTGATTCACTCAGCTAATATTAATTTAGGACTGTTATGTGCCAGGCACTATTCTAAGCTGTAGAAATATAAAATTGAAAAATTTCAGCTCTTGCCTTCAGGGAGTTCGCAGGTAGAAAAGGCAGGCACTGAGGAAGGATAGTGCAGTGATAAAGACATGAAGGGGACATTTCTAGGTAACAATGATGGTGAGAGATTTGTTCAGAATGAGAGACTTGAACATGGGCTCCAGAGTGGGGAGAGGAGTCAGAAGGGAGCTAATAGAATGAGAGAAAATGAAGCTAACATGGGGCTAGAGATTCCTCGGAGAACTGAAGCAAGACATTGTATAGCTAGCCAAAGGATAGGGGATCAGAGAGTGAAATAACAGAATTCAAGATTTCTGAGCTATAACATTCCTTGGTGAGGACACAAGATCCAATGTGCAGTACTCAGAAGAGTGACTAAAGTGAAATGAAGATGAAAATGATAATATTAAGGAGATCCAGGAATTGCACAACTTCCCTCTCTCATGTACTTGATAGGTAATCTGTTCTTTCCTTAACGTTTCTGCTTTTTATTTCATAAAGCTATTCAGTCTTTCTTAATAGCCCATTTGTTAGTTTTCTTCCCTATGTTGAGGACAGATCTCCTTCCCTTTAATTTCTACCTATTGGTATTATTTCTGCCCATTGTAGCTATATAGAAAATATTATTCCTCCTTTTTTCCTTTTCTGCAAGTAACTCAAAGTATAAGAGAAAGTTTATTTAGCCCTAGCCAGTTTTTCTCAGTGGTTAGAGCATTGGCCCACAGACTGAAGGGGACTGGGCTTGATTCTGGCCAAGGACATGTACCTCGGTTGCAGGCTCGATCCCTAGCCCTTGTTGGGGCTTGTGCGGGAGGCAGCAAGTTGACGTGTCTCTCGCACACTGATGTTTCTCTCCTTTCCACTCTCTCTGAAAAGCAATGGAAAAAATATCTTCATGTGAAGATTTTAAAAAAAGTTTATTTAGAATGTCACAGAGATAGAAAAGGTGAGCCAGCTGGGCTGTGTGGGCTCAGGAAAGGAGTTATAGAGGCAGAAGAAGGGCCCTTGGAGCTTAGGGAAAAGAAAGGCAGAGAGAACATGTCTGGGAGAAGAAGAAGAGGGCTGAGTGTGCCCTGAAGAACTTGCACTGGGGAAAGAAGAGGGCGGCCAAAGGCTCCAGAGAAAGAGCATGCTTATTATTCCTCTTCTAAATGGAATCTGTTCTCCTTATTTATTTACTGAATATTGGCACATCAGTTGTATTCCACATACTTTGCTGGTTCCTGGAATTGTGCAAGTATTAAGGAAGTGATAGTCCCTAACTCATGCTCTCATTTAGGCTAGAGGGAAGACAAAGTCAGGAAGTGGAGTGAGTTACAGAAGAGGAGTAGGATGTAAATGGGCCCTGAGAACAGGAAACTTAATGTGCCTATATGTGTGGTAAGAATGGGGAACAGGCAGAAAAGGAACCCAGGGAGTGTTTCACCCTGAGCTGCTTTCAGAGAGCATGAGTATAGGACTGTGCATGAGTATAGGGTGTTCCGGGCATGAGTATAGGGTGTTGCCTTATAAGTAGCAACCCCAAGGTAAGAGTTGTAATGCATTGAGAAACTGAAGTAAATGTATTATGAAGATAAGGGTGAAAAGTAGTTAGAGGTCTTAATAATTATTTTAGGAGCTTAAGCCTGTTTAACTGGTGGTTGGAAGTCATCCAAGGAGAGTAGAAATTGTCAGAGCTATGTTTTGTTGTGTCTTTTTTTAATGAGATTTATTCTCTGTCTCTCTCTGTCTCTCACTCTTTATTGATTTCAGAGAGAGAAAGGGAGAGGGAGATAGATGTTTCTTTCTCATCGATGTTTCTATTGGCTGCCTCCTGCACATCCCCTACTGGGGATTGAGCCCACAACCCAGGCATGTGCCCTGACCGGGAATTGAACCCCCGACCTCCTGGTGCATGGGACAATGCTCAACCAACTGAGCCACACTGGCTGGGCCAGAGCCATGTTTTTAAGAGAATAGATTGGAGCAGAAGAATAGATTGTGTGTATAAAGAATAGTTAGAAAGTGCTTGTAGTGGCCTGGATGAGAAATGATGGTGGCTTGGACTGGATGGGGGTGGAGGAAGGAAGAAGATATATTTGAAAGATATTTAACAGGTAGACTCTGTAGGACTTGATGATTTACTGGATTGGGGTAGGGGAGGGTGGGAGAGGAAGAAATCAAGAACGGACTCTGCAATTCCTAATTGTTCAGATGATAACAGTTGGAGAATCATGTTGGAGAAAAGAATAATGAGTCTGTTATAAACATATTTAACTCAAGGTGATTACTGTTTTTTCCAGCCAATATTTCCCTGTTTTCTGAACTTTATTCTTTAAAAGTTGTTATTTATATATTTATGAATGGATCATTGTCTCTGTTGTGCTTCCTCTGTGCTCAATATAGACCTTATAATATTTAAACTCCCTGAGGATGGGGTCACTTTTTACATCCCTGGAGTTTAGAATAGTGCCTGACACATAGTATTTAGTAAACATCTGAATGAGTGCCACTTTATTTTGCTTCCTTATTTACATGTCAGTTACATCGAAGATTACTTCCTTAAGGTTGGGCTTCTCATGGTATTTTTGCATTTCCAGTGCCTGGTACAGAGCCTCAGTCACTGAGGGCTCAGGAAAAGTTAGCTGATGTTTCTGTTGTTATTCTGTTCATCATCATCATCTACCATTTAAGTACATTGTAATTTTTGATAATTTGTACTCCTAGGTGTTAAATAACGATAATTTGGAGTTTTGCTTTCAGGGAGGGGGTGATCCTCAACTTTATATGGTTACATTTAACTTTCAAAGGACAAAACTTTGAATGTAATACTGACTAATATAGATGTTACTTACTTTGCTTAATTTCAGATACATCTATATAATGGGAGTACAAGAAAGAAATGAGAAGTTGTTTTATAGAATACTGCAAGACGATATCGAAAATCTGTTGCCAATTGTATATACACCAACAGTTGGTCTTGCCTGCTCTCAATATGGACACATCTTTAGAAGACCCAAGTAAGGTTTATTTTTTAAAAATATATTTCAAAATGATTATTATATAGAAAAAAATCTTACTCTATGACACCTATTACATTTTTATTTCTTGCAGCCTTACTTCAACCACATTTTCCACCTCACAAAAGCTTAACTTGGACAAAAGGGATTAATAAAAACCCAACACATTCGTGTCTTTTATTTTTGTAGAAATAGCATTGTTCTTTCTTAACCTTCTTTAAATTATTATTGTTAGAGGAACTGTGTGTTTTTGTACCAAAAGAAAAGGTACTTTTTTTTTTTTCCTGGCCACAGAATCTCTAGAGTTATCATTAATGTTTTTGACAATCTGGCCAAATTAAGAGATCAGTTCTCATTTTTTTTGTCAGCTTTCATTCCTGTTGTTTGTTGTTTTTATGAACTTTTGTGAATTTTAATTTCACATAGTTCTAGCACCTCCATGTATTGTAAGTGGAAAAAGACTGGAATGGGCATTCACTCCAGTCTTGGAATAAGTTACTGTATCCCTCTGAATCTGTTTTCTCATCATCAAATAGGGATACCAGTACCTATCAAAGAGCTGCTGAAAAGGTCAGATGAGGAAATTGATGTGACTTATGGTTGTTTATAAACTTTTAAGCATTATCTGAATGCTATTTTTACTTAATTTGAGTTGCTTTGTTCTTCTGACCTATTCTTTTCTCAATCCTTATATCTTTCCCATGTCTTACTTGCATATTAACACAAATGTAGAAATTCAACAATGTGTGATAGCATTTATCTTTACCTAGCCTAGTGAATTTCACATGTTGATGTGCATATGAAACACCTGTGGGACTCACTTAAAATGTTGATCCCTGCCAACTTTTCTCTCCTTGTCATTCCCAAGATTCTGATGAAAAGGAGAAAGGTCTGGAGGTCTGGATTTAATGAACACCGTTGGTGGTGGTGGTGCAGGTATTCCCTGGAAGACACTTTGAGAACACTGTGTGTTCTAGCCAGTGTGCTGCCATCAGTTAATGTGTCTGAAATGTTTCTGTGATATTATTCAGCCTTTCAGTTCTTTTGTAGTTTCTTTTTCATGTAGAACAGTGGTTCTCAATCCAAATTAAAGGGAAACATAAAAAAATACTGATGCCTGGGCACCCTCTGCCGAGATCCTGAGTCAGTTATTCTAGAATTGGGCCCAAGGGTTGGTGTTTCATAAAAGCTCATGGGGTGATTCTGATGTGCACCCAGAGTTGAGAACTGATGTGAAACATAAGGCACATGGCTTTTGGGTGAGGGCAGGTACTGTGTTTCATTTATGCAGTATGCTGCTGCAGTGGTTTTTTGTTTGTTTTTTACATAGAATACAGTCAGTAAGTCTGATCTAAACTCCAGGCCAGTTATATCAGAATCTATGGGGCATTTTTAAAAAGCACATCAGATGATTCTATTATGCAGTTATGGTCAAGAAACTGTTTAACTAAACTGATTTGAGCTAGGATAGTAATGTTGAAGTTAAGATACCAATGAGAAAGTTAGATGTGAGAATCAGTTTGAAGGCCCTCTGGGACCTGTTGGCCCCCATCTCTGCCTGACCTATTTTCTAGAACCTATGTTTTGTTTTGGTTTTGGTCTTCCTTCCTCCTTTCTTCCCTTCCTCCCTTCCTTTTTTGAAATCTGGATTAATTATCTCAGTTGGATAGCAATATACTGTGTGTTTAAAATAACTCTTCACTTTTTCCTAGTGCCTCAAGGATGTCATCTTTTATGTGAAACTACTTTAGTTTTCTTTCTTCTCTTCCTGCTCCTTCAAATTTCAATTTTTCAGTTTCAGTGAGTTTTAGCAGTAGTTTATTTAGCCTTATTATGCTCTTCTGCATTGGTCATTTATTTTTATATTGCTTTTTACTAGAGGTATATTGGGTTTATTTGAAAATGATACATGGATACATTTCTTCTTGCATAAAATGATCACATCATTTAATAATAATCTTTGTTGCAACTACTATGTGAGCAATGCAGTTACAGTTTGAAGTAGTTGAAAATAAACCAGTGGAGTGTGATTTAGCTAAATCTGCTTGGAAATTATACTGTGTCTTGATGTTTTATTAAAATATCTGAATATTCCAATTATGAACAAAGACTTAGAAAAAAACTGTTGTGAAATGCAAAGGTGTTTTTGTTCTGTTGCAGGGGATTATTTATTTCAATCTCAGACAGAGGTCATGTTAGATCAATTGTGGATAACTGGCCAGAAAATCATGTTAAGGTACTAATAGCACAACCTTCCTTTTCACAATGTTATTTCTTTCCTTGTAAGTTACCTCTAAATTTCCAAGAACAGTTTTTCTTTGTTGCTCTGATTTATTTTGCACTTACATGCAGGGTGTCCCTAAAAAATATGTATAAGCACTTAAATAGCTGACAGCTCAATTTTGAAAATGAAATGTATTTTAATAAACACTGCCTTTATAGTTATTCAAAGTGTGTGTATACATTTTTTTGGAACATCCTATACATGCAGATTTAGTGCTCTGACAAGATCATGATAGTAATAACTACAAAATGTGTTACTGTTATAAAATTTGACTTTGGGAAAGAAATTGGAGCTAGTACACAAGGTGGGCTTGCTCACTGTCAATGGTGTCTCCGGCCTCTATATTTCTTTTCTATTTCAATTAGTTTTAATATTTTTTATTTTATTTCATATTAATTAATAAAACTATATTAAAATGACATAAAAGCTTTTATTTGAGCATTTTATTTGGGGAGGATTCATTATGCCTTTTTCCTTCTAAATCTAAGGTAGATTTAGATCCTTAAAGATAAAACAAAGTTTCAAATTTAGCAAATATATCAGTGAATCTGGCTGTCTTTCATAAAATGAAATCAAATGACTTAAGAGCTCCTGTTAGGCTTTAGTGTTTACTACATGCAGTAATCTTACTTGCTTTTATTACATCTTCTTCACTAAAATAATCTTTGATGAATAATCATTAGTTCTAATGGTCTAGAGAAAATCTGATCAGATAATTAAACTCACAATATTATCTTAAAACCTTGTGGGTAGGTATATTTTTTATTCTAGATCTTTTTCTCTTTCAACATTGCTGAGGTTTTTCTTGTTTGGCCTAGGTTATTATGTTGGAGTAGCATGTTGTTTATGTCTAAACTCGTTTTTTCCTCTTATCATTAATCTCTTTATCAGAAATTTGTTCTCCACTCCCCTGTTTAGTCTTTGTGAAGATGTTTAGTTGATCTTTCAGTCAAAAGCATTCTGTTCCTAAACCAAAGACAGAAAAGCAAGTCTAATTAATTCTCTTTTTTGATATCTAGATTCTAGAAATACTAGAAATTTAAGTATACTTAGTTGGTTTACTTTGGAAGTTAGTCAAGAAGCAATTTTATTTTTAAAAGTGTAAAAATATCAAAATCTTTTAAAAATGCTTTTCTTTAATGTCCCATTTTTTACCACTTTTAATTAATTATTATTTTTATTTTTTTGTAATTAAGGCTGTTGTGGTGACTGATGGAGAGAGAATTCTGGGTCTTGGCGATCTGGGTGTCTATGGAATGGGAATTCCAGTAGGAAAACTTTGTCTGTATACAGCTTGTGCAGGAATACGGCCCGACAGATGCCTGCCTGTGTGTATTGATGTAGGAACTGATAATCCAGTAAGTAAAACCCTTTTCCCCCTCTGATCCTCATCTCATATTAAAAATTATTTTTATTACATTCCTCTTTTGAAGATAATATAAGAAGGGAAATTTTTTCGATTAGATGTTTGTCTTAAATTCTGCTTTTAAATATGTTTTTATTGATTTTAAAGGGGAAGGGAAAGGGATAGAGAAATAGAAACATTGATGAGAGAGAAACATCGATCAGCTGCTTCCTGCGTACCCCTTACTGGGAATCGAGCCCGCAGCCCGGGCCTGTGCCCTGACAGGGAATTGAATCATTGACCTCTTGGTTCATGGGTTGATGCTCAACCACTGAGCCACCCTGGCCAGGCTTAAACTCTGCTTTTAATATTTATACAAAAAATAGTAAATTAAGCCTATTAAAAGTTTCTTGAAGTAGGGTAATAAGGTTTAAAAAACTATATTAGTCATTTATTTTGCAATTTTCATTTTTAAGAATATATTTAAACTGGTTATGTAACAAAATAACTATTTTTACATTTGGTCTATTTTATAGGCACTGTTAAAAGATCCATTTTACATGGGCTTATATCAGAAAAGAGATCGATCACAACGTTATGATGATCTGATTGATGAGTTTATGGAAGCCATTACTGACAGGTATTTTTTAAAAGTTTGAGTATATAAAAGCATCTTTAATTTAAAAAAAAAAGAATTCACCATTTTGTTTTATTCCTTTATCTCTTATGAAGATAAGTAGGAGGTTAAATTTTGAGAACTTTGGTTCTTTCCTGCTGATCAGATGTGCTGAGACATCTGATACATGGTGATACCCTGCCTGCTCTGCCTTGCTTTCCTGAGTTGTCCAACATCTTGAGGGAAGTGTGCACTCACTGCTCCTTTCATAACCTCACTGTCCAGTTCTTTCAGCCCTTGGCATCCAGGCTCACTTCCACCATTCCAGTGAAATGTGCTGCTTTCATGTTTTAAATTCACTGACCATTTGGTACTCCTCTCTCCTCATTTGCACCGTCTGACCAGGTTTTCCAATCCTTTGTCCTCGAAATTCTCTCTTCTCTTGACTACTAAGATTTTCCTAACTTGGTCTTTCACCCACCTTTTTCTTTCTTTAGTCGTCTTCACTGGTTCTTGCTCCCTTTTAGTGCATGTGAATGAGTACATGGTTCTCTTCTCTTTGAATCATGTAAGCTGTGATCTTTATATACGTGCCTCCTACCCCCATGAGAACCCGTCTGTGCAGTCCCCCTCCCTCTGCGGCCTGTATTTCTAACACCTGGAATTCTCCATCCACACAGTCTGTTGCTCTTTCATATTCATGTCCAAAGCAACTCCTTCCCTTTCCAAACTGCTGATCTTCTGGGCATTCAGCCTCTGTTAATGGCGGTAACCTTCACCCTGCTGCCAAACCTTTGTTTGGTCTTGTGTTATCTTTGACTCTTCTTCCTTCCCCAGCCCCCAGATCCAATTGGTGCCGCCGCTGAAATGTCTCAGAAGTAGATCTCCTCTTTCCATTGCCATGGCCTTTCTGCAGATTCTCATCTCTCTTGGGTTTTTCTAAACTTTCCTCCAGTTTCTCTCCTCTCCAGTTCATCTCCACGTTACCACTAGGTTAATTTTTTTAAAAGCATATGCTTTATTATGTCATTATTTTGCTTGAAATCTCTAATTGGTTTTCCATTGCCATAGGGTAAAGTCTAAACTCTACTTTTATGACAAAGTCCAAACTCTTTACTTTTATGACCTAGCCCTGCCCTTCTTTCAAATTACTGGTACATAAAAGGTATTAAAAAATGAATTTCTTTTCAGAGTCAAAGTTGATATAGTGAAAACTAAACTTCACCCTCCTAGTAATTACTGTCTGTCCCGCTTTCTGCCTTAGACAGTCAAACAGCATCTTCTTAGTGGTCCAGGTTGCCTTGGTGGTTTAGCGGACCTCTGCCCTTACTTCCCAGCTGTCCTCATCATCAAGTTCTGTAGGTGTTTTCTGATTGTCCCTTTTACTTCTGTGGCTTCTGCTTGAGATCTTTTTGTCCTCATGCCATAGTAACCCCCTTGCCGCTTCTCCTGTCTTTCTCATCTCTTCCCAAACCACTATGTGCTGCACACCAGTGGCAGGTTTATCGTTCCTAAAGGGAGTCGTACATGAATTCTTTCCTTCTCTGAAGACTGCAGTGATTCTACACCAGATACAGAATACGGTCCCCATTCCCTATATTGGCACTCAAGAGTCTCCCTTATCTTTTCATATAAACCCTGAAATATATAGCCAGACTGTTGAAAATTCAGAGTCACCAAAATACATCTTGTTTCCTACCTCTTAACATTTTGTTCTTTCAGGGCCCAAAAAAGTCCCACCTCCTTTTCAAACCTTCCCTTATTACCCCATCTCATCAAGATGATTGACATCTTTTTCTGAATGCCCATGAACTCATATGGCAATTATTTTTTTAACCTTTTATTTATATACTTCCTGTGTTGCTGTTTAGCTCCTAATGTAGTGAGAATATACATAGCCAATATACACTCTTTGAGACTTAGAGACAAAAATCTTTTTCTTTTTAGGAAGTAATTTAGTGCTTACCTGTGCTGGGTAACCTCCTAGGCACTTGGAAATAGTTTATGCAGATTGATAACCCACAGGCTCACCATGGTACTACATTTGTTTTAAGCACCCTGTAAATTTTTGGAATGAGAAATAGATTTTTACATTTTGAGTCTAGTCTTTCACAGACTGAAAATTGCCAGATAGCCTTAAATGAACTAACAATATATTATATTTTAATGCTATCATAAGGAATATTAGACAGGAAAGCTGTTTAGTAGCAGTTTTTCAACACAACCATTTACGAGGTTTGCTGGTTTTTAGATATGGACGGAACACACTTATTCAGTTTGAAGACTTTGGAAATCATAATGCATTCAGGTTCTTGAGAAAATATCGAGAAAAATACTGTACCTTCAATGATGACATTCAAGGTAAAGCAAAAAGAACTTTAGGATTTTAATTTCTACTTTTTAAACCCTTTTTATGTGACAGTTTTTATTTATTTATAAAAATCTTTATTTTTCTTGTAGGGACAGCTGCAGTAGCTCTCGCAGGTCTTCTTGCAGCACAAAAAGTTATTGGCAAATCACTCTCAGAACACAAAATCTTATTTCTTGGAGCAGGAGAGGTAAGTTTTTGTAAGCGATTTTGAATTAAAAACCAACACTCTTTAGAATTAGAAAATGGGGCATAATGAGCTTATATTTTTGTTGTGATAGATGGGGAGAGCTTGTAATTCAAGATCTCTCTTGTAAAGTAGGTAATTTAAAAGAAGCTTAGAGAATATCACAGAGTCAGCTTTTATGTGATTTGTAAAGGAAGAATAAACCAAATAGCCCTCTTAACATATAACATTAACATATAAAGTAATTCAAGCATTGCATCGTACTCTAGTCTTTACTTTTTAAATTTTTGTTCTGTTGGGCAGGCTGCTCTTGGCATTGCAAATCTTATTGTTATGGCTATGGTAGAAGGTGGCCTCTCAGAAGAAGAGGCACAAAAGAAAATTTGGATGGTTGACAAGTTTGGTTTATTATTTAAGGTAAGGAATTTAAAACTTGGAGAAGCAAAAGAATGTTTAGAATGATATTTTTTAGTTTGATTTTAAAAACATTATCAATTTTTAAAATTTTGTATCTCACTGGACTATACAAATTGTACTAGTTGGGGACCTTACAGTATGTTCTCAGCAGAACTCCTCCAGTCTCAAACTTTTGTCTTTTATAAAAAGACTCTTGCTTTGTATTGAAATCATAATCTCTCTGTTGTTTTCTTGCCATTTACATCTTTGGGGCAAGCTTTTCTCAATGCACTGTGCTCCAGTTCTGAAATCTCTCTTCTTAATTTGCACCAATGTTCCATTAGTACATTTTATCAAAAGGTAAAATGATCTTTTTTTTGCTTCGATCTCTGACTCTTAAGAGATGAAATAATCATGCAGATAATGTTGTACTTGACCCTTCTAAGACTAGGTTTTTAATGGGAGCTTAGAATGTTCTAATGGTTAGCAGGCCATCTGATACTTGAGCAAAAATTTGTTAAACCTTTAGTGATCATAATTGAAATCTATGGACCCTTTCCCCAGAAAAAGGCACACATTCTTAAAGCCAATTCATGGATAATAAAGAACTTGTAGCTCAGGTTGATTTAGTGTCCTTTGGACATACCTTCCTTCCTAGCATTGTCATTTTATTAGCTTAAGAAATGCCCTATAGCTTATACTCCATAACACGTTGACATGTAGGTAATCTTTCATAACTGAACCTATCCCTGTACACAGTGCTGTTGTATTTTTACCTTATATAACGATATAGCAGTTACTTGTCATTTACATCTTTGGAGCAAGCTTATCTCAATGTACTTTGCTTCATTTCTGAAATCTTTCTTCTTAATTAGTACCAATAGTCTATTAGTACATTTTATCAAAAGATAAAATGAAAAATTATTAAAGTGTGTGAAAAATCTTGAGTGCTTCAATTACATAATTTAAAATAATAATTGTTTTAAATATATCAGACATTGTGCTAAAACTTTACATTTTTATTTTATTTAATCTTCTCAAAAAGCCTATGGAATTTTACAAATGAGGAAACTGAGGTTTAGAAAGGTTAGGTGACATTTTCAAGGGCATTAGCTAATAAGTGATGGAATTAGGATTCATATCCAAGTAGCCTGTGAAGCCTGTGCTCTTAACCATTCAACTGAGTTCCCTCTCAAGTAAGCTATAACTGCTATATGTTTGTATATAAGATGCAAGGACATACTTTTAGAAAGCTTTTGGGAGGATATATATTTTTACTGCTACAGAAGTAGTTGGGTGTTTCTTTTTGTGATGTTGGCTTTTACAAATGTTTCGTGATTCTTTATCATATTTGTAGTAAGTCAGACCTACATTGAATATAATATTAGTTAGCACAAGTGAGAATCCCCTGTTCACCTGCAGGTTCAGAGTATATTTTCCTTTTATTCTGTGAGTAGCTTGACCCATAGATTCTAGGCTTCCAGTCTCTCCTGGGGACCCAAAATACTGCCATCCTTTTTGAGACTTTCCTGTTGAATTGCCATATTGGAGAGCTCTGGTCCTGGAGACACGCATAAGAAGTCATTATTCTGAGAACCTCAGTCTGGTGAGGCTGTATTTCAGCCCTTCCGTTAACTTCCCAGCCAACCAATGATGGTGTGCAGCTTTTCCCAGCCCCTGCTAGTTTTTATCTGGGGTTATTCTGGGGCTCTGATGGAAAAATTCACCTTTGCAGGGGACATCTCTTTTGCAAAAATAAGGGTATGGATTTCTCAGCCTGGTTAGTTTTCCATCCAATATGTTTTGCCTGCTTTAAGTCATTTAGAAATGTTTTATTCTCGTTTGTCACTGATACCTCTCCTGGCTTTGTGACACTAGTAAGGATTTGCTTTTTATAGTTTTTGACTTGGGATTTTGGGAGGAAAGCTGTTTCTTCATTCAGCCATCTTCAACCAGAATTCCTTGTTCCTCTTGTTTCTGAACTCTTGGTAGTCCAAGTACAGTTCTGAAATTCTAAAAGCTCTGAAATCCCAAAGTTTTTTCTGAAATTCATTTAGTAACACATCTGATGGCCTGAACTTATCTGGTAACAAAACCAGAGAGGCTATTTGTAGTCTTAACCTTTTGTACTTGGTATGACTTGTCATAAGTTTTATTCAGTTGTGGGGTACCCATTGGGAGGTATTTGTAGTATTTGATATAGTACCATAATACATTTCTAAAATGTGAAAAATTCTGAATTCCAAAATGCATCTAGCTCAGTACAGGGATTGTAGGACTTTGTGCCATATTGAATTTAGGAGGACTTCACAGAGTAAATGAGTTTTTGAAAGGGATTACAAAGTTTCTGGTTATAATGAGATTCGATTTATGTTTTATATTTGGGTTTATAGACACTATGAAGATAGAATTAGAAGATAAGGGTTGAAGAGAAAAGTAAATGAAAATAAATTCATATTGTAGAAGCAGTGTGACCCATAATGATGTCTTTTCAGTTAATCCTCAATAAGCATTTACCAAAATACTGTATTTTATGTAAAAATTTAGGGGCGGAAAGCTAACATAGACAGTCATCAGGAATCATTTGCTCACTCAGCCCCAGAGAACATACCTGACACTTTTGAAGATGCAGTAAATATACTTAAACCTTCGGTTATTATTGGTAAGTAAAGTTGTTGCAGATCATTTTCTTAAGTAACTCTATGTTGCCAGTCATAACTAACATGCAGAATTATTAAAAATGAAATGATAGATTTTACCTAGCTTTCAGCATGTACAATGTTTTCTGTAATAGTTTTTTGATTACAGTGTGTAAAGACAGTTCAGTTAATGGAGGTTGCTTGTATTTTTAAGTGCTAAAAGCTGTGGGATTGATCATGCTTTGCTTTTAGAATTGGTATGACTATTGGGCTCAGAACCTAAAAAGATCAAACTCTTTTGACACACTGTACCAGAAAATCCCGTGCAGAGTCGAAGATTTTCATTGGCAACAAAGTTGAGTTCTATTGGTACATTTTGAGTCAGGCATTGCATAGCTGACATAAGACTAGGACACCGTGGCATTAAGCTACAGCAGAACATGTAACAGTCTTAAAAAGGAAGCTATTTTATTTCCAATGTAGCTGTAAGATTTGAATCTACAATTTTCTTTTAATTGTGTCTGTTTTATGTAGGAGCCCTATTGAATGCTAAATAGGAAAACAGTCATGAACAGTAAGTTTCTGTGGTCAGGAAGAGTGTCTTTGTTAGTTTCTTCATTGATTAGAACTCATAATTTTTAAAAAATATTTCTTTATTGATTTCAGAGAGAGGAAAGGAGAGGGAGAGAGACAGAGATAGAAACATCAATGATGAGAGAGTCATTGATCTACTGCCTCCTGCACGCCCCCCACTGGTTATCAAGCCCGCAACCCAGGCCTGTGCCCTGATGGGGAATTGAACCCTGATCGCCTGGATCCTAGGTCGACGCTCAACTGCTGAGCCATGCCCGGCCGGGCAGAACTCATAATTTTTAGAACAAGAAGAAATCTTAAAGATCATCTAGTCTAAGACTCTGTCCATTGACTCTATCCCTGGAGGGTCAAGGAAACAAAAAGAAAAAATTTAGTTGTTTTAGAACTCATGGGGCTCCTAAGAATATGCCTGTGAACCTCCACAAGGAGAAACACTCGAATATAACTTCCTTTTTACATAAGAAAAAACAGGCACAGAGATGTTAAAGCAACTTGCTTAAGATTTGTGAATATTTCACATAGCCAGGAATGACAGCAATCACTAAAACTGGTCTCCAGCCAGATCAGTATTTTTTTATATTACATAAGAGTTTATAAAATGGAATTAAAAATTGATTATTTTGACTGTTAACTATGAGTGTTCTTACTGGATGAACTGGATAAAAACTTTGCAGAGGCATCACTTAGTTATTTCCAGATTCCCACCATGGGCTAAGTATTCTTTCTGCATGCTATGTTTTCTTTAACACTGCACACTTAGCACATGTTGCAGGTTTTCTGATTTTCCATTTACTTTGTTGTTTTTCTCCAAACTATAAGCTGCCTGAGTTATACTATTTTTTATGTCCTAATGGCCTATTTCAGTGTCTGAGACATTGTAGGTACTTAATAAACTCATTAAATGGAACTGTATCAAGAAAGTGGATTGCTTTAGTCAAGATGATCTTTTATTCCTTCTGAATTCCTAATATTTTGTAACAAATACCATACACTTTAATAATTTAACATTTGAATTGCAGGTTTTTATCTTTAAAACATTTTTTAATTGTGGTAAAATACACTTAACTTAAAATTGTCCATCATAACCATTTCTAAGTGTGCAGCTCAGTAGTGTAAGCGCATTCACATTGTTGTGCAAGCCATCTCCAGAACTCTTACCATCTTGCAAAACTGAAACTCTGTACCCATTAAACAACTACATTACCCCATCCCCTGCCAACCACCATTCTTTCTGTACTATGAATTTGACTACTTTAGTACCTCATATAAGTGGAATCATACAGTATTTTTCTTTTTGTGCCTCGTTTATTTTACTTAGTATAGTATCCTCAAGGTTCATCCATGTTGTAGAAGTTTTATCTTAATTAGACATAGTGATGGAGATAGTCTTAGACTCTTTTTCCGCCTCACAATTTACTATGTCTGGGGTGAACAATAAATATTTAAGTGAAAATTTAGCATTTTATTGTTTTTCTTTTCAGATTTGAGATTGTGTTCCTATAGCATTATTTCAGCAATGCATGATCTATCTTTGTAATGGGAGTTAACCTGTGCTTTTGTTATGTTAAGCCTATTTTAGAAATGCTGTTGATAGAAATTGCTTTATTTTACCTGTAATGAAGTTGGCTGTTTTTCCCCTTATTTATTACAGGAGTTGCAGGAGCTGGCCGACTTTTCACTCCTGGTGTAATCAAGGCCATGGCTGATATCAATGAAAGGCCTATAATATTTGCATTAAGTAATCCTACAGCAAAGGCTGAGTGCACAGCTGAAGAAGCATATACACTTACACAGGTATTGATCAGTAGTAATTGAATGAATTCGTTGTGTCTGTTATTTTCCCTGTATTAGCCTGTTCGTTACATCCTTGCATAATTTTCCTGGTTACTCTGGAGATTACAACATGTGTCCATGGTACTAATTATTGCTTGTAAGAATTCTGGAAAGTAATTACCTCATAATTCCATTTTTTAACACCTTCATGAGTTTTTTTTGCTGTTGCTGTACTTTTTTTTTTAATCTTCACCCAAGGATATGTTTATTGATTTTTAGAGAGAGGGAGTAACATTAATGTGAGAGAGAAACATCTGTTGGTTGCCTCCCATACACACCTCAACTGAGGATTGAACCCACAACCCTGACTGGGAATTGAACCCGTGACCTTTTTGGTGTACAGGATGATGCTCCAACCAATTGAGCCACCAGGCCAAGGCAGTTGTACATTTTAATTGTCTATCTTAAACCCCAAAAGATGATGTTTTAAATAAGAATTATTTACTTAGAATTACCTACATTTTAATATTTTTATTGCCATTTGTTTTTCCTGCATTTCTGTGCCTCTGTGTAGGATCATTAATAGAAGAATTTTCTACCAGAAGAACTTTCCTTAATATTTGTCTGATGAATTTTCTTGATAATGTCTTTATTTTACCTTCATTTTGAAGGATATTTTCACTGTGCATAGAAGTAAAAGCTGCTAAATACTTTATTTCAGCACTTTGAAGATTGTTCTATTGTTCATTCTATTGTTTTCTGACCTCTGTTTTCCTTTTGATATGTCATTTTGTCTTGGGTTTAAGCAGTTTCACTACCAGGGACTAGGTGTGGGTTTTTTTTAATTGATTCCATTTGAGGATTGTAGAGCTTCTGAATTTGTGGCTTAATGTCCTTTGGGGTATGGGAGTGGTGGTATGTTATTTTGGCAATATATCTGATTTGATCACATTCTTTCTCTCATGGTACTACAATAATATGAAAGTTAGACTTCTGACCATAAGTCATATATCCCGTACACTGTTTTCTATGTATACCATCCTGTTTACTCATTGTGTTTCATTCCGGTGATTTTCTTTGTATTTTTGCATATTCTCTTTTTAGCTGTGCTAATCTGTTGTTAGGCTCTTAATTCTATTGTGTTTTTCATTTGTAGAATTTCTGTTTGATTCTTTTTATAATAATTTATTAATTTAGTGACACAGACTTAAAATTGCATATTCTAGAAATAATCAGTTTACAGGTACTTCTTTCTTGCCCACACATCTCATGAAATAATTCTTAGTACCTACTTTAAATGGTTCTTCATTAGAAGTGTTTGTCTTTATGACAATCTTTTTTTTTCTTTTTTTTTATTTGTCATCTGACAGCTGTCTGGAACAAATTTTTACTTCCATCCAAGGTGTTTTAAGATTTAGTTCTTTTAAATTCTTGGACACTGCCACTCGCTGGGTTATATCCCAATTACAAGTATCTGCATATATACCATTTGGACAGTTGGTATTTTCCTACTGTTCTGTAGGATATGTTTGTAGTCTGTCCAATGAAATCGCCTAAGGTATTGTTCTTATTAGTGATCTTTAAGTGGCTCCAGGAAGTGATTTTTAAAGGCTTGTTTACAATGGTATCCAGCAATAATCATTGTTAGGTAATGCCCTTGAGAATAATTAGTAAATATTCTCTATTTACTAATGTTTTTTGTTTCCATTCTATTAAAAAAGTTTTTTTTATAGAAAATTTCAGACATATAAAGGTAGAGAGAATAGTATAATTAACTCTAATGTTGCAATACCTAGCTTCAAAAATATTCAACTCTTCAACAGTCTTGTTTCTTCTACATTCTACTCACCCCAAATTATTTTGAAGCAGATCACAGACATTAGATCATTTTATTATAAATATTGTATCTCTCAAGTCAAAGATTTTTTTAAAATGTAATCACAGCAGCATCATATTTCACAATTTTAATAATAATCTTTAAATACTTAATTGATCCTTTTGTTTGACTTGCAGTTCCATGCTAAATTTTTCTATCTTGTCATTTAATTTCTTGAATATATGAATCATAATTAAAGTTATGCCTGATATTAATGAATATATAATTCTCTTGTCAGTTCATTTGTATTATCTGTCTTTCTCTTTTCTCTTAATTATCCAGTTCTTGTCTTTTTGTAAACCTAGTTTTATTCTTTGTTTTCTTTATTGAGTTCTAGATAGTGTGGATGAAGAATTGTAGCAATAATTGAGTCCCTGAATGAAGTTATCTTCCTTCAGAAGGGCTTTACCTTTTCCTCAGGTAGCTATTAGTCTGAGGTGGTGTATCCTGATCTAATCACGATGCAGGCCATGTGAGGCCTATTCTGTTTCCACAGTTTGCCCTTTCTCCTGATGTGCATCCCTTTGAGTGTGAATCAAAATCCCTGGGGTGTTTATCAGCACCCCTCATCCCCAGTCATCCCTGACCTTTTACTTTTTTCTCTCTGCCATCATGAGACTCCTGATAATTTTGTTGCTTAGGCTCTCAGCTACAGATTTTGTTTTTGAAATCAGCAATCACCTCGAGGGGGAAAACTTCAAGTGCTGTCTTGCATATGTTGCTTTTAACTACTTTTGGATCTTAAATGTCTCTCATCTTCAAACAATCACTATCTTGGTAGCACCCCTACTTCTTATTTGAATAATATTTTAAATACATTTTATTTGGTTTTTCTCATTATCACCCGAGGGAGAATTGGTGTGAAATAACCTAGAAGATCATTGCCAAAGCAGAACTCTCTCTCAGAACTTGCTGAACTCAACATTCATGTACTTGATATAGTTAGCATTCCCTTTTTTTCGTTAAAATTTTTATTTTGACACATATTCTCTCAAAATTTGTTTTGCTTCTCTATCACTATCCTGTGTTAGTTAAAATAAAATCTCTTTAATATCAACAATTATAGTTATTATTGAAATAATTTCTTTTGAAATCATCCTTAAAGTCAGCATACAGATATTAAAACAACTCTCTTTAGTATACTGTCTTACTTTTTACCAAAGCATGGTATTACGTTCAATTAAATTGCTCATACTATTCACCAGTCTTGACTACTTAAGTGAATGGTTATTGCCCCTAAATTAAATCTTAGTCTTATGCAGTGACTACTGGATAAATATACTCACTGTATCATGACTTTGGCATTTCCAAAACAAAAAAAAATTTAAATGTTTTTGAGCAGTAGTAGTATGTCACTAGAAGACTGTTCAGACATTTAAGAATTTTATTTTTTGAAAGAATAAATATTATAATAGATGTGAAACTGGACAACAAATGGGTCTGGGCTGCCTGTCACTACTTTAGCCAATTAAGCAGAGACAGGGTTGAATCATATATGAGTGTTTATTCCGATAATGCCCGCAATATGGGAGAGCAGCAGGTCATCCAGGAAAATCTGCTCCACCCCCTCCTAATAATCCAGCTGCTCATATTGGGTAGAAGGACAAACATTACATGGGGAAGTAGGCAAAGTATAATGGTTACAGGTTACAGGCAAAGCGGGCTGGGGGTTGCAAAGGGTGGGTGCTTCCGGGACTCCATTGTTTTGGCAACCAGGTTGTTAATCTTTCCGTGATAATAGGGAGTTCTTGGAAAAGGAGAATGGACCACATTCCCAGGTTAACTCCCATGTCCTGGGGCGTACAACTCTCAGCCAGGTTAGAATGTGCTTTCTCTAATCAGAACAGAACAATCATAGTTAACAGAGCATGATTCATATTTCTTATAACTATAGCTAGTCCCTACTCTTCTGTTTCTGCCCCTAACAGATGTACATTATTGGAATGAATAAAAACTCCCCAAGAAGACTAGTTTTATGTACTGTATTTCACCAATTTTGAGAGAAAACTTTTTTCTCAATTTTTATAACTTTGAAATTGTGTTATCTCTTAAAAATGATAAAAAAGCATTGCATCATAGTTTAATTTTATGTAATTTTTTTCTTAGTGTTACATAAAATAATGACACATAATTTATGTATTTGCAGTCACTTCTTAAATTTTCAATCTCCTTTTGTTTTCAGTGGAGAGATGTCTTGGTGTTACTCTAACACCCTCACTGCTTACTGAGAAAGCAGCAGATGCTTATAGGACAAAGAATAGGCCAGCTTGGACTTCAGAATGACAATACTGCTATCATTAAGATCTGGCCACATTTAAGCAATAGGTAGATTATGAAAGGAAAAAAAAAGATGGCTTGGAGAAGATGAACTGTTGTAGAATCTTGCCATTCTAGAGGATGTTCCTAAGATCTTTCTAAATCTCCAAATTTACTGGTATCATGAAGGCATAGCACTTTTCTCATAAAGTACTATATTGTATAATCTACTTTATGAAGCTATTAAAATTAATGGTGCCCCCATAATCTTTATTATTATACATATTATTATTGTGGTAACATGTATGGCATTAACCAGGAACTAATGTTAGTGTTCAAAGAAACAAAACTAGAGTTATGCCTAGAACAGGTTGAGGATGATAATAGCTATCTATAAACAATGTTATAGTTGTAGGTCCAAGCTAGTCACCTGAGCTCTCCACTATGCATGTAGCTAACTTGCTTTAATACTTAAACCTTGTATCATTTTGAAATTGATAGTATGTCTTATAAAAGTAGTAATTACTATACTTCAAGGACCTTCTTCATCCAAAGGGTCAAGTCCTTTTTACATATATATATATATCTTTATTGATTTCAAAGAGAGGAAGGGAGAGGGAGAGAGAGAGAGATAGAAACATCAATGATGAGAGAGTCATTGATTGGCTGCAGCCCCAACCTGGGCATGTGGCCTGACAGGGAATCGAACCCTGATCTCCTGGATCCCAGGTCAATGCTCAACTGCTGAGCCACGCCCGGTTGAGCCAAAGGGTCAAATTCTTGAATGTTAAAGCCACTAATGCCAAGGGTCTGCTATACTTCAAAGAATATTACACTCTTGGTATAATTTGGATTTTAGATTAGTAGACCTAATTCTGTCAAATATTCAAGTATCCATGGCAGTTCATCCATTCTGCTGTGTGGACATAGTTCAGTTTTCTGTAAGTCACCTTTTAACTTAATCCAAGGAGCTGTTTAAATAGGATAAATCCTATTTATATATATACATATAATAGCTATACCTTGATTATTGAAAGATAGGTTATCCTGTTGGAGAACTACTGTTTTCTTCTTGCTCCTTTGTCTTGTTTTTTTGCAGGGAAAGGTGGGAGGATGGTATTTGTTGGGAGAAAATTATAAAGGATTTTGTTTTATAAATTAATGTTCATATGCTTTTCAATTTCATAGGCATCTACTTCTCTTAGAACTACAGACTGTGCCAGTAACATTTATTAAATGCCATTATAGAACATAGTACTAAAATAGATGATTACAACAAATTTGGAGACTTTTTTTTTTAACAAGGCAATATGCCATTTTTTTTTTTCTTTTCTGGGATTGATAGTGTGGCTGTATCAATGCCTCTTTTCTAAACTGCCTCACTGAAGGCCATTATGGCGTAACAGAAAAAGACCATGAGCTTTGGAGTTCTGAGTATCTGGATTCCAGTTTAACTGCTAAAGTGTGATATGTGACATTTTACAGAGTATTTGGAAATATCTGAGCCTTAGTTTTCTCTTTTTTTTTTTTTTATCAGTGAAATCAAGATAATGATAACCTCATATGGTTTTTTGCAGGCTAAATTCACTGAGTTAACACTTAGAGAGCTCCTGGTACCACAGTAATGGTAGCAGTTTAATTTTTGATGTTTTCCCCTTTGCTCACAGATGTTTACATAAATCTTTAATATTTTGGAATGGTATTTATTGGCCATCTACATTTTAAATTTTTTTAAAGGAAATGGAAGTGTAAAATTTTTTAAAAATTATTAATAGACATACTTCAGCTTTATTCTGAATGAATGCATAAAACAAACCTAATCTAATAAGGATTTTAATGACAGGATTATGTTATATAGTAAATTATTCCTGTTTGCAAATAATATGTTGGTCTGCTTTACTGTAGGATTTAATTTTGTTTGAATTTTTAGTCCACATAAAGTAACAAAATCAAGGTTATTTCATTTCTTAACAGGGAAGGTGTTTGTTTGCCAGTGGCAGTCCATTTGGGCCAGTGAAACTAAGTGACGGGCGACTGTTTACACCAGGTCAAGGAAACAATGTATATATTTTTCCAGGTAAATGTCACCATTATTTATATTTTAGAGTAATAATTAATGACACATAAATACTTCATGAAATTCTTTAGAGTTTAAGATTAAAAGGAACAATAGAATTTATAGGATTTTGGTATGACTGTACAGGGAAATTCAAGGAATTCAACAGATCTAACTTGCTCTATTTCCCCTGAAAATTTATTTATCCGTACATGGGTGGGCAAAAGTAGGTTTATAGTGGTAATACAGCAATAAATAATAATACAAGAATAAACTATGTTTCACATACTCAAAACTGTAAGCCTACTTCTGCCCCACTCTGTATAAGCGTACAGTAATTTTTGCCCCAAACATTTAAGTAACTGCATTAAATGTAGATGGACCAGTTGTTCTTAAAATTTTTCTATATTTTCTGGAGGCTGGATTAAAATAAGGAAGCTATTAACCATCGGATCCTCTTCCCATTCTTCCCCACTCTATTGGGATACTCTTTGAGTTGTTTAGAACAGAATTTCTAGACTTTGAGACAATAGCACAAGCGAGGACAGAGGTGCCAGAAAGTAGGGAGGTTAAAATCCAGGTCACTCAATAGTGATGGTCAGAGTAGGCAAGCCCCACCCTGTGCTTTTTTAGTTCCTCACCCATGCATATGAAAAAAAGAGTCACAGATTACTAGTCATCTAAGGAAAATCTCTTATATGAAAGATTTATTTCATAAAGAGACTAAAGCAGACACACAGAAAAGGGCAGTTAAGGAAAAAGGAGGGATTATGTGGGAAGAAAGAAAATTAAAAACTTAATGTCATGAGATAAAATATTATACCTCTGAAGACTTTTTCTAAAATTATAAAACAAAAATAAAGTCTTGAATATAAAAATTTAGTAGCAGAAGGGTTAGAAGAAAAAGTTGATAAAGACACCTAGAAATAGAGCAAAGAACAAGAGATAAAAATAAAAGAGAATCAGAGGACTAGTCCTGGAGGTACAATAGCAGAAAATAGAAATTTCAGGGAGAGAGAGAACAGAAGAACAGATGGAAGGTCATTATCAAAGACTTCATGAATATTTCCCCAAATGGAAAGACTCAAGTTTCCAAATAGGAAGGTCCTACTCACTGAGTGCCAGACACCGTGGGCAAAAATAATGCACTTTAAGGCATATCATAAATTACAGAACATTAGGTACAAAAAAGAAAAATGATTCTACATACTTCCAAAAAGATCATCACCGAAAAAGGATCTGGAATGAAATTGGCACTGAATTTATCGCCAGCAATGCTGGAAGCTTATTTCCAGACTAGAATTCTAAACTCAAGCTATCAAATAAGTGGAAAGTAGTAAAAAAAAAAAAAAAAGGGGGGGGGGGGATGAGTGAGGAATATAAGATTTCCGTTTCAAAAAATGTATGGCCCATGCACTGTTTTTCAGAAAACTACAGCAGAATATATCCTACCAAAACGAGGGCATAACAAAAAGCTAGGAAGAAGTGGGATTTAGGAAATGAACTCAACTTAGAAGCAAAGGGAATCCTCATGCTGATGGAGGGATTTTCCAGGATGACAACTCCTATCTTAAATGGAGAGCAGCCAGATCAGATTTATTCTGGGGGATGAAATTAGAGACTACTTGAGATAGCTGAACTACTAGAAGATAATTTGGACAAGTGGATTAGTGTGAAATAATTTCATGTACCAAAAACACCAAAGTCAAGAAAAAAACACAGGACAATAATTTTAGGAAAACAAAGTTATACAGAAGAGGAAAAGTAATCGTGATGTAATGTTAATGGATGGCTCAGCTGTGAATAGCATGTACAAAGTCATAATAATCACTGAATGTTCATTCAACCAAAATTATGCTTTATATTAGGAAAAAGGAAGAAGACTGGAAACGTGAAAGAAAGCTAAATCTTTATTTCCCACAGGAAGGCGTCAATAATATTTAAAACTCGGAAGTCAATCAGAACTATAAGCAAGCTGTTTAAGAGTGAGAGAAATGAATATTAAAACAGCTAAAATAATTAAAAGTAGTTGTCTCTGTAGAACAAGAAATGGAGAGTTAGAGGTGTGCTGGGATTTAATGGTTTTTTTTGTAATGTGTCAAATTGTATGCATTTGTAATTTTGATAAATGTAAAAACTATTGGGAAAAGCTATTTGATATTTCCTAAAATATTTTTTTCTAGTAAATAAGAATTATAATGGTTAACAAAGATCACTTGGTTTTACCTTTCAGATTTCTGTTTTTTTCTTGGCTGCTTTGTTTTTTGGGGTGGTGGTATTTGGGGTAGGAATGGGTTACCATTGACTTGCTTTACTCTGGGAATTTGACTCCTTTCCCAATTTGAAAAGTGACCTTACTAAATAAACTGTTAAAAATGTATTGTAGGCGTGGCTTTAGCTGTTATTCTCTGTAACACCCGGCATATTAGTGACCATGTTTTCCTAGAAGCTGCAAAGGTAAATGTTTTTAATATTGCTTCGTTATTTTATAAGGACGAATTGTAAAGATTAAAAGCAGAAAGAATAAGAGAATGGGTTAAATCTGCCTTAAGACTGTAAAGGAAGTTACTCATCAGTGGCTTTTTTGATTTGTCCATCTACTTTTGAATAAAGTTATTTTTATCATGCTTTTTCAAATGTTTGACATAAGCTATGAGTCCCTTCATATTTATAACACATCTACTGTACCTGTATTATATGTATCTGAAAGTAACAGCATAGGTAAAATACAACTCCTTGCGAGTTTTTAATGACAATTACTGATTTATTTGGAATAGTTGGGGCTCTAAACTTGGCACTATGAGTTTTGAAGAACTCACATTAATCAAATATTAATGTCTGTTTTCACAGTAGCTGTTATAATTACGTCAGATTCTGGATGTTAAGTAGAATATGTCAGGCCTTAAAATCTCGTTATTTCTTTGTTGTTTAGTAGTGAGTAGTTTTAATCTCTGCAGTACTTTAAGTGTATTCCTGCTAGAAATAGGAGGGTTGTATTTCCTGTATTATTTTCTGCTCCCCAACCCTTTTTCTATTTCATTACATCTTCATTATTCTGTGTTACTTAAACTAAAGTTCTGTTTTACTCTTTAGGCGCTGACAAATCAATTGACGGATAAAGAGCTAGCTCAAGGGAGACTCTACCCCCCTCTTGCTAATATTCAGGAAGTTTCTATTAACATTGCTATTAAAGTAAGTAATAATTTATACCTCTTCACATAAATTTTAATGGCATTTTCTAATGTAAGTAACACAAGTTTATTAGAAAAATTTGAAACATGTAGAGGGCGCAAAGAAGAAATTTTAGGTCACCCATATTTTGTCAGAATATAACCCACATTATTATTTTGAGCTTGTTGCTTTCTAGTCTTTTTTTCTTCCCAAACACATACTTACATATGCGCACACATGCCCAGTCACCTGTGGCTGTTTTTATAATTTGTTTCTCACTGCACTTTTTTCCACTTAATGTATTGTAAGTCTTTTCCCATGTAAATCAATAATAATTCTTATGTGTGATCATTAATGCTGCATGGAATTCTCTTTATTATTATATCATAATTAGTTTAACCATTTCTTTTTGGACATTTGTTTTTCATTTTGGTAGAAATAATATTGTAGTAAACATCCTTAGATCAGTCTTTATGTGCATTTGTGATTGTTTTTCCTTCAGATAAATTTCTAATCATAAGGATAAAAGGTATTAACATGCTAAGGCTGCTGATACGTACTGCCAAATATTTCTTCAGAAAAAAGTACTGATTTACATTGTACCTGTTAGATATGAGTGTATTTGTTTTCCCACACCTTTGCCAGTATACTTATTTTATTATTAGATTGAAGAATATTTTGTGTTTATTGAACAATCATATTTTTCCCATGACCTGTCTATTCATGACCTGTGCTTGTTTGTATATTTGTCTTTCTACTTTCTAATACTGATTTATAAGAGCTCTTTATTAAGGGTAGTAATCCTTCTGTTTGCTATGGTGCAGGTATTGTCCTATTTGTCAATTATTTTAACTTTCGGAATTGTTTCACATGTGCCATTTTCAAAAGCTTTTTCATGAAATTATCTGTTCATTTTATGGATTGTTTCTCACCTTTTATGAGTGTTAATGCACTCATAAATAATATAAATATCTTTCTATGTTTTCTAATAACATAAAACGTTTTAATCCCTCTGAGACTAATTTTAGTGTATGATGTGAAAGAGAATCTTTTTTTTCTGAGTAGTTAACCAGTTGCCTCATCACCCACCAGTTGATTGAGAATACTCCTTTTATTAGCATAAAATGTTTGACTCTATTGGAGTCTGTTCCTGACCATATTTGTCTATCATTAGGCACTGTTTTAATTATTGTAATATGTGCAAAATGTATTGTTTGATACTATATATTTCCCATCACTATGGTTTTTCAGTATTATCTGTTCTCAACTGTTTATTCTTTTGGATGAGTTTTTATACCAGTTCTTTGAGTTTAAGGAAAACCCTGCAACTATGTATAAAACTATGCCATATTTATAAATTAAGTAGGTGAAATTGAGTCTTTCAGCATTGACCCTTCCCCATTCAGTATCTCTCTCCACTTAAGGTTTTTGTCTTTCAATGTAATCCTGTTGTTTTCTTCATCTGAAGTGGCATGTCTGTTATTATCTTCCTAGCTATTTAAAAGTGGTATTGTATGTAATGACAGTTTCTGTCCATGTGTATTTCCTTGCTGGTCATTTCTGATGTATAGGGAAGGTGTTAATTTTTAGTAATTTACCTGATAACTAGTTTCTTTGTTGAATAATTTTAATTCTTTTAATAGTTTCTCAGTTAATTCTTTTAGAATTGTTGTGTTTTGAACTATCTACAAATAATTTGTTTAAAAATATATGCATAAGTCTTTTCTTCTCATTTTATTAAATTAGTTGGTACTTAAGAGCAGTTTTAAGCAATTGGGTTGCTAAGGGCATTCTTGTATTTTAATATTATATGTGATGCTAGCTTTTTTGTAATTTGGTTGAAATAATTTTATTTTTAAAGAAGTAGGCTTCTAATTTTACTAAAATTTTCTTAAACATCAGGATTAGATAAATTCATTAACTACATTTTCAACTTTTATACTGATGATCATATACTTGACCCCTTTGACTTAATGTTTTTGTGCATTATTTCAATACTCATAGACTAAGCAAAGACTAGGATTTGGTAAAGGATGATATATGTAGGAAATAGTAACAAAACCAGTTGAGCTGGAGTCTTAACTATAGGTAGGAAAATGGCCTAAGACAAGACTGGAAAGTTATCTTAAACTTGCATGAACACCCATATGCCAGACAGAGTTTGAATACCTTACCTGCTATTGCAAAACAATGGAAGATTTTAGAGCTCAAAACTACCATGAGTAGAGTTCAGCTTTAGAACTTATAAAGTGATGTTACAGGTGGGACAGATATTGGAAGATACCAGTCTGTTAAGAGATGTATTGGTGTGTCCAAATGAAAGGTAATGCATGAGGAAGTAGATCTGTGTTTGGGGTTGTTATAGGAACATAGCCTCAGCATCATCTCTCTCTTCTCCCTTTCCTATGGGGTAGAGAGTTTGCTCTTTCTCCATTGGTTTAAGGCTTTCCTTTTTAGGAGAGGGGGATCTGGAGAGTAAGCAGTGCTTTGTATCTGTCCCGCACCCCAACCCATAGCTGCTGAGCATTTCCGTGTAGCCACCAGTCACCTCCTGAATGCCTACGTGACCAAGGAGAACTCCGATCTCATGCCTTGCCCCCAATTTTTTCTGTGGATACGTTTCCTACAGTAGACTAGGAAATAATTGAAACAGTTTCCATCACAAAATATAATGAGATTGAGCTCCTAGGACTAAGGATTATTTTTAATAACCACCATTTTCTTGTTAAATTTTTCTTTTAGAAAGCTGAAATAAACTTTAATAATAGTCACCATTTGGAATGGGAATTAGAGGATGTGGAGAAAGACAGAATTGTTTGAATATTTTTACAATGTGTTACTATATTTTCTAAGGTTAAAATAAAATCATAACTTACTTTATGACAGGCAGGCATTGTGCTACCCTGTGAGGAAGCTTTTCGCACTACCTCATTTTACATCAAAACTGAGGTTGCAAGGGCCTATGTTCACCAGCAGTCATGGGGTGTGGCTTGGTTACAAAGATCAGAAATTCACTCAAGCTTGTTTAGGTGGGAAATAATCTAGCTTAACTGTTTAGGGTCTGGGATCTAAATTCAGAATACTTTGGGTTTAAAATACAGCTCACATAACTACCTTTGGCAAGTTACCTAAACTCCTCATACTTTTGTGTCCTCATATGTAAAATGAGAAAAATAATAATAGCACTTAACCTCATTTGGTTCCTGTGAGAATTAAATGAAATATCCATGTAAAGTACATAGAACATGTCAGACACTCAGTGATGATGGTGAGTTGCCATGTATAGGTTTTAGCACTAACTTTATTTGACCTTATAGTTCTAGTGTCCAACACTTGAGCAAAAACATCGGGTTCACTTTGGGTTAGGTTTTCACCCCACTCCAGTCAGCTACAACTAAGAAATGGAGTCTCCCACACACGGTTTTAGCAGAATTGTGGGAGGAAAGGACATGGGCTGGGCAGGTTACCCAAGTAGGTCTGTCTACTTGACTGACACAGTGTAGCTTAAAATTGTTTGTTGGATTGAACTATTAAGGAAATGCCAGTAACTCAGGGTGGGGAGGTGACTTTAAAGATGTCAAACTTACAGTAAGATTGCAGATGATTTTTACTTCATCTTTTAAAAACTTTCAGTAGTTTCAAAATGTTTTCAGATGAGTCAAAGTAATGTTATGTTTTACTTTGGAAATTAAAAAAAACACCCATTTTAAAAAATTTATTTCTGTGTTTTAATAGTACTTTTTCTCTCAGATATGTTAATACTCAGAGGCTGCACAGTAATCTTATTTACTTTTCAGGTTGCAGAATACCTATTTGCTAATAAAATGGCTTTCCGATACCCAGAACCTGAAGACAAGGCCAAGTATGTTAGAGAAAGAATATGGCTAAGTAACTATGACTCCCTGCTGCCAGACATGTATGAGTGGCCGGAATCTGCAACAAAGCCTCCCCCACTCCTGGAATAGCAGTGCCCGCCAACAGATACCTTCCATGCTTCAGGGAACCCTTTTTTCAGAAAAAATATAATGCTCTCAAATTTATGTTCTTTCGTGTTTTATTCTCCCTTGCTGCTTTGCTCGACCTCTTCCTGTGGATCTCCCCTTCTGTGTGGGGTAGATGTGTTTATTGACTGCATTGTTAATGCCCACTAGCACCCTGCCATCAAATAACCTCAGTGCTTTCATTCTGATTTGGAGCTCATACTACATCAAAGAGATGTTAAAAATGTATCTTTAAATGTCTTCACCTGTGCTCTTGTTCACAGTTACCCAGGTATTTGCTATTTACTATTATAGGTAATAATCTCTCACCCAGCTCTCGTAGGGCTACTAAAATACAAACTGGCTTCTGTGGGGATGAGCACAGAATCTTGAGAAAAAGCCCAATTTAACCAAATTCTGAGGACAAATTGTCTATCTAAAATATTTTATTTCTTCTTCATGCTCTGAAATTCCTTTCTAGTATATAGTTCTAGAGAAATATGAAAAATCTCCCCTATTATTTATTTCCTGAAACTAAATTAAGGCTTAACTATAACATAGTGAGAGAGAAATGGAACTACTGCTGCCTTTAGACAAAAGAAAAGTAAAAAATAGTCATTGAGGCTACAGTAATGTCATTAAAATCTTTTCATGACAGTCATTGTTTATAAGTGTATAAAAATCATAGTGTAACTTTTTTATTTAATAAAGGTAATAACTTAAATTTAATTGCTTCAATTATGCTATTTTATTGCCCAAGTAAAAATTTAGCTTTGATTATGAAAAGCACATATTTTCATCTTAATTTCTGGGTGATTCTAAGGAGAGAGGGGGTATAGGATCCCTAAAGCATAAATTATGACTGACATCATATGACTTTTAACAAATTAGTCATATGTTTCACATCTAAATGAATGTTATTTAACTGAAGAGGTTGTACCCCTATTCCAATAGTGATGCTCTTTTACTTGAGGTAATTTTGAGGTTCCTAGGAGATATTCCTTTGAATATCCTTAGTGACGATTCTTTCTCCATTGAAGATGGATTTAATTTTTTTAAAACCACCAAAATTAATTTAGAGCTAAGTGGGGATAAATAAGGTAGGTGTTCAAATTTTTAATAGTCCATTTTCATGCCACTTTTCAACCCAGTAAAACTCACCAATTATTAGTGAGACCAGTTTTTTTATGTGACTTACCTATTGGAGAGTTCTAAAGGAAAATCCAAAATCATTATAGTAGTATTGCTATATATGTGCCTAACATGGTTGCTTTGAGGGAACAAAAATTTTAAATGCTCATTCTAGAATATCAACTACAAAAAATTATTCAAAGCTGCGTATCAGCATGCACATTATTTGGCATTTCCACAGTCCTTGATATGTTAGATATAACATTCTGTAGAGGGGAAAAAGGGCTTAGTGGTGTTTTTTCTTGTTTTTTTTGTTTGTTTTTGATCTTTTGTGATTTTTTTTTTTTTCCGCTGGCTTTTTTTTTTTTTCTTTATTGAGACTATTCCAGATGTCCCCTTTTTATCCCCATTGATTCCCTCCACCCCACCCCCAGGCTTTCCCCATACCAATGTCTGTGTCCATGGATTATGCTTTTATAAACATATAAATTCTTTGGTTAATCTCTCCCCACCCATACCCCCCTCCCCGCCTTCCCTCTGAAATCCCTCAGTCTGTTCCATGCTTCTATGTCTCTGGATCCACTTTGTTCATCAGTTTATTTTGTTTATTATATTCCACATATACGTGAGATCGTGTGGTACATGACTTTCTCTGACTGGCTTATTTCACTTAGCATAATACTTTCTAGTTCCCTCCATGCTGTGCCAAAGGATAAAAGATCCTTCCTCTTTACAGCTGCATAGTATTACATGGTGTAAATGTNGCTACAGCTTTTTTATCCACTCATCTACTGATGGGCACTTGGGCTGTTTCCAGATCTTAACTATTATAAATTGCGCTGCTAAGAACATAGAGGTGCATAACTTCTTTGTGATTGGTGTTTGGGGTTCCTTAGGATATATTCCTAGAAGTGGGATCACTGGTTCAAATGTCAGGTCAACTTTTAATCTTTTGAGGAAAATCCATACTTGCTTTCCATAGTGGCTGCACCAGTCTGCATTCCCACCAGCAGTGTGCTAGGGTTCCCTTTTCTCCACACCCTCGCCAGCACTTGTAGTTCGTTGCCTTGTTGATGGAGCCATTCTGACAGGTGTGAAGTGATACCTTATTGTGGTTTTAATTTGCATCTCTCTGATGATTAGCAACATTGAACATTTTTTCATATGTCTCTTAGCCATTTGTATGTCCTCTTTGGAGAAGTGTCTATTTAGGTCCTTTGCCCATTTTTTAATTGGATTGTTTGTCTTCCTTTTGTCAAATTGTGTAAGTTCCTAGTTTTTATTTTTATCTTTTCTTCTACCTATAGGTAGAGATTAATTCACAATTTTGAGTATAATTCAGCATTTTAAGAATCCTCAAAATGGCATTGCCATTTAGAATGTGGGAAAATGCAATTGTTTAATTCACTTAACAGATGAGTCAACTCAGAAGTCTGGTATATAAATCTGTTTCATAGGCAACCAGGTCACAATTTATTTTAATTAAATATGAAAGGTTTATGTTTTTCATATTACCTTTGTCAAATCACAGTCACTCCCAAGAAATAGTCTATGAAATCCTGATTTTAGTTTAACATATAATAATTACAAACCTGATTTGTGCTTTATGCTTATTGAAAGTAGGAACATATGCTGAATTTTACTTAGTAATTTTACTAGGATGTTTACTTATTAATATGTCTAGTACGAGCCTCATGGAAATTATAAATATTTCAAGGAAGAAAAGCAAGGCCAAATAGCATATACCTTATTTAAATAAGAGAAATCTTATATGTATATATTTTAAAAGCTGCTTATTCTCATATTTACCAACCAGTGTTTTAACAACTATTAAAATTGGATGTAAATTAAAGAAAAAATTTTAATACTAAAGCTAAGAATACAAGCTGGAATTATCAGCACAGTGGGAGGGTGGTGGCATAATGGCATCAAATTGGAAAAGAAACAGAAACGTGGATTTCTGTGGAAACCTTTACCTAGCAAGAAGGTAATTATTTGGAAAAACAGGAATGGAGAGTCATTTTAATTCTTTTGAGTAAAGAAGAAATTCTGTATATTAGTCTGTCAGAAATTATTTAATAGGGAAAAGTGGGAATACACGGTTTTCTAATCTGGTAGTATCACCTGTAGTGTGAAACAAATTGGATAAATAGTGAGGGTAAGGTTTATTGACTGCAATGAGAAAAGTATTAAGGATTTTGGTTAAAACCTTTCTAAAGGATGGACTGTTAACCAGAAAATTGCCTCAAAAACACCGTGAAGCTTTTTTAAAATTCAGAGGCCTCTGCCACCTCCCAGGCCCCCTGGACCTCCTGGGCAGCGCCCTAGCAGGCGGATTCTCGGCACACACTTCCCCTGCCCTCCCAGTCACTGCCTTAAAGCAGGTATCTGAATCACCTGGAGAGCTAACCCATTCCTCCTGCTGATGCAGTGGGTCTGGGGTTGGGGCCCAAGATTCTGCACTCTGACAAGCTCCCAGGGGGATGCCCATGCTCCTGGTACAGAGAAGGCACTGAATGGCATTGCTCCAGGATACTGAGTGTGGTGTGCAATTTAAGGTTAGTGCTCGTACAGTATGTACTGTACATGAAAAAAGATAACTGAAATTATGTTCTTAAAAAGAATTGGTTCCATCTGTTTCTGTTATGTATAGTTTTAAAAGGATGTTTATAAGAAAAATTAATACAGAACTTTCAGTCATTTTTCTGAAAATGCATAACTAGAATACTGTTCAAGTCTAAATTATTGATTTTAAATGTACTTATTAAGTAAAACCTAGCAGTTTTTGCTTATAAAAGATTAGCTATCAAATGGATATTTGTTTCTACTCTATTCTTGGCTGTCTCATGATATGACTTAGCCTTGTCCTTTGTCTTTTCTTTCCCTAAATTGTCAGCCTCTGGAGAAACGATTCTACACCCTCCTTCTGCAGAGGGCTTACTAACAGATTAAGACCGAAGCCTAATAATTATTAAGGGGTGTGGCACATTATTTACTGCTCTCAGATAACTACGAAAGCCCAAAGGGGATGGTAGAGGAGTAGGGAAAGCCTTGCTTTAGAAACAAATACTTCATCTAAACCTCTAGTTTCTTTCTTAAATCCATTCAGTATACCTCAAAGATAATTTCTTCATACAGTTGAACAGCTCTAGTGTTCTGCTGAATTCACCAAAATGGAATCAGCTCTGTTGAGCATGCATAATACTTGAGAAAATCAATATAAATCTCAGTGCTCTCTACTGGGATTCCATTTAAAGGGACTGATCTAAAGAATGAAATAGAACTAGTATCATATTTCCTTCCAAGACCAGATCACACCTGTTCGGGTGCAGGCACATTGCGACTTCATAGAAAATGGAATAGATTCATTATCTACTTTGGCTCTCAACCAATTTGTGATTTGCACTTTGATGTGCATCTAAATGTTAAAATGAAAGAAATCCTCCACAGACAAGCTAAATAAAGTAACATCCTTAATATTTTAAACATTCAAGATAATTTAACTGCAGAAAACTTCCCCCTCATTGGAAGTTAGGATAAGATGTTTCCATGTAAGCAAGAAAAAGCTCAACGCTTTGCTTCAAATTTTAATTAGGACATAACTCTTATTGCTTAATTCCCCTAATCCTTGCCAGGAGTTACTCAGATAAACTAGTGATTAAATTTTAAAACAATAATTATTTTCTTCTTTTGGACAAGTAAGGGTAAGATATGGGAATGTATTCATAGCAGAGTTGCATAAAATATACAAATTAAGGTAAATGACCTTTGGATGTTTTGTATCTGTAACAGGTTTTTGCCAATAAACTCTTTTTCATATGACTATTTAATCTTGTTTTTGTTTTGTTTTGTTTTTTCAGATAAACACTTATTTGCCATTTTGCTGTTTGGGAAGTTATCCCTACACTCAGCATTCTTTTTAAAGTTTTAGGACTAAGGGGAAATCTATTCCCTAGCTTACAATATGTTCTAGAAAAATTGTTTTCCCTTTCCTAATTTTAAGTGTATATTCTAGCAAGTCATTGATTCCTATGTAATCATTGAAATATCTCCAACATGTTAGGTATGTACAGTTAGTGAATAATGATAAATAAATTTTATGGCTAGCACTACTCTGTGCCGGGCATTGTTCTAAGCACCCTACATGCATCATTATATTTAATCTTCACAATCACCTTCTGTCACCCCACCTGTTTCAGACAGAAGGCCTCCAGGCACAGAGAGGTAAGTGGCAGAGCACAGGCTCTTAGCCTCAGCCCATCAGGGGAGAAGGGCCTCTGTGATAGATGATATTATCTGAATCTTAAATACCTATCTTCAAGAATTGTTATTTCAGATGAAAATCACCTATTCTTATAAGATTGGTCTTAGGTCCTTTTTAGAAGATTGGTCTTAGGTCCTTTTTAGTGCATTTTACCAGTTCATTGGATTTTTACTTTGTTCCCATTTATAATTCAAATGCAATATAAACATTAGTCTTCAGCACTTTAGGTACTGGACGTAAACATAAAATATTTGTTTTTGAACATGATAAATCACAACAGATTCTCAGTAGCCAGTTCACTAACATTGTTTGGTTTGGCCATCTTCACAGAACCACCAACTGCTATCATTTCCGGGCAAATCAGTTTCAAGAATTTGCCAGGGTCAATGTGAATTTGAATTGTAAGATATATTTTTAAATGATACCTATTGTATTAGATGCATATATATAACTTAATCCATTAAAAGGTGAGCACAATTAGAAAGTAGTAATATGTGTATGTGGAATAAAGAATTTCAGAGGAGACCTATTTTAGCTAAATACTTGACAAAGTAAAATTTTTTGGCTAATAATTTATTATCTAATGACCTTTAAAATTAACTGAAATTAAAACCATATTTTTGCAATTGATATTGTGTTTCCTTTGCTAACATCCCAAGCATTAATTACTGACGTCAAGGAAAAGTCACTGCTTAGCCTTTCTCACCTTTCTATTTAAGATAAAGAAGTGGAATAGTCTTGCAGTAATTGCTCATGGGAATACTAGATTAAGGGGAATGCCTTGTGTCGAGTCTATTTAACCAGATTGACTTATTACAGGTGGTTCCAGGAATCAGTCTAAAAACTTGACAATGATGTGAATTGTTTTTTCTCTTTTGTCATGTTGTAATGAGATGTGTGTATTTTCTTAATAAAATTTTCCTATACATAAAAAATGCCTTATGACTTTTTTAGTTTTTCATGTTTAAAACGTGACTTTTTTTTTCTTTTTTATTGAATTTATTGGGGTGACATTGGTTAATAAAATTATATAGGTTTCAAGTGTAGAATTCTATAATGCATCATCTGTATATTGTATTATGTGTTCACCACCCCATGACCGTGTTTTTAAAGGCTGCTGTATATAGGGCACTTTTAAAACTTGGTATTATTAAACCTTAAAACACACACACACACACACGATCTTATGGGAACATATTGTTAGACTCAACTCATAAGTGGAGCACTAGTCATGCTCTTCATCTTTTTATTTCGTTTTGTTCAGCTTTCTACTCTATATATCCCCTTATTTAGTTTAATCATAGCAGTAAGGGAATTATTTCTCACCTCTCCCCACCCCCAGCACATACTCATTCCAACACCCTAATATTAGAGTACTAAGTCAAAAAGTATTCAGCATTACCTGTGAAGCTGACTTGCCAAAAAATAGACTAATCAGAACAGGCCTCTAGATCTAAGTCCTATGTGATAGGAAATAGAGAGAATGGAGGAACACCTTAAATGATACCATGGAGGTGCAATCAGCCAGGTCCAGAATTTCCTGGGAAATTCTACAGGACAAATGACCCAATTTCTTCCCCAAATAAATGGCAAGAAAAAAAGAGGAAGAAAAAAAACCATTAAACTTAGACTTCTACCAGATGCAATGTGTAACCTTTGGATCCTGATTCAGTCCAACGAACTACTTATGAGATATTTGGGGAATAATTAGGGAAATCTGAATAGTTATTAGCTGATATTAATAAGTAAGGATGTCACAACAAATTAGATGATATTAAGGAACTGTTAACTTCCAGGTGAGAAAATAACATTGCAATTAATTTCTTTAAAGAGCATATGCATGAGCAAAGCATCAGGCAACACTCTTGTTTGAAAAAATGACAAAGAAAAGAAAAAAAACAGTAACCGTTCTCTGGT